AAATCTCTCATGTGAGATTCTATAAGGTCAGTAAGCTACATAGTTTATGCTGCTTAACTAAGTGCTCCAATCATGTGGTACAAAGACATTTTCATAAGTAAAGTGAGGAGGCATTTAGCCTAATGGAACCAAGTCAGACCCTGTGTCGTACATTGTATAGGTCCCTAGCATATAATTGAGTCATGCTGACCTTGCCCCACTTATCAATGTCAACATGGCCAGGATATAAACAACCTATGGTGAACCTTACACAATTGGAACTGTCCTTGTTCACAGGGACAAATCTCAGCTTGTTGTTGGTATTGACCCAATAGAGTGTTGCCGCTATCATTCTGTAGTTATTTATAGTGCCTATTTCTTCTTTGACTGTATGTCTGACTGTTGATCTTCATTTCGTTAATATGGGGTTTGCCCCCTTCGTCTTTCCCTTTTAGGTACCACTATCAGGTTCATGTGTCCCTATGTGGTTCCATTATCAGATTCCTGTGTCCCTATGTGGTCTTTCTATCTAATTCCTGTATTTCCATGTGGTCCCACTATCTGGTTCCTGTGTCCCTATGTGGTTCCATTATCAGATTCCTGTGTCCCTATGTGGTCTTTCTATCTAATTCCTGTATATCCATGTGGTCCCACTATCTGGTTCCTGTGTCCCCATGTGGTTCCATTATCAAAATCTGTGTATCCCTATGTGGTCTTTCTATCTAATTCCTGTATATCCATGTGGTCCCACTATCTGGTTACTGTGTCCCCATGTGGTTCCATTATCAAAATCTGTGTATCCCTATGTGGTCTTTCTATCTAATTCCTGTATTTCCATGTGGTCCCACTATCTGGTTCCTGTGTCCCCATGTGGTTCCATTATCAAAATCCGTAAGAGGTGACTAAATTTGGGATCTTATCTTTTCTCTTCTTTCTAAACAACTTTCTTCTCCCTAATGTCTCCCTTGACAATACATGTACCTCACTTTTGGCCTTTAGTTGAGCTCAGGGTTCTTTCCCCTGGCCGAGACATACCGAGTCTGAAAAAATGATAGTTTCTACTACTGCTTAACGCTCAGCAATTTAGGAGTGGGACGACTGGTTTGCCCGTTGTCAGTATAATGTGACCGGGTGGGGTGTCCTGCTGGGTGTCTTTGGCAGTATGTTTCGGTGAGGTAGCACTATGATGTCGGCATCAGTTCTGCGCTATCACAAGGAGACGAACACGAAAATATCGCAGCCTCCCAAAACACACACGTATACACTACACGCATGCATCTTGCACACAGGGAAGGTCGCCCTTAAATGACCATAACTGTTGATAGTATGTTAAACAATACTAAACCAAACCAGACCTCTCACCCTTTTGTTGTCCTGCTTTCTGGTTTCTGTCTCCCATTGTGGTTCCTGTGGTGTTTCTATCACCCTATGTGGTTTCTGTGCTGTTTCTATCACCCTATGTGGTTCCTGTGCTGTTTCTGTCAACCTATAAGGTTCCTGTGTTGTTTCTGTCCACCTATAGGTTCATGTGTTGTTTCTGTCTCCCTATGTGGTTTCTGTGCTGTTTCTGTCACCCTATGTGGTTCCTGTGTTGTTTCTGTCTCCCTATGTGGTTTCTGTGCTGTTTCTTTCCACCTATAAGGTTCCTGTGCTGTTTCTGTCTCCCGATGTGGTTTCTGTGCTGTTTCTGTCACCCTATGTGGTTCCTGTGCTGTTTCTGTCAACCTATAAGGTTCCTGTGTTGTTTCTGTCCACCTATAGGTTCATGTGTTGTTTCTGTCTCCCTATGTGGTTCCTGTGTTGTTTCTGTCTCCCTTTGTGGTTCCTGTGTTGTTTCTTTCCACCTATAAGGTTCCTGTGCTGTTTCTGTCTCCCTTTGTGGTTTCTGTGCAGTTTCTGCCTCCCTATGTGGTTCCTGTGTTGTTTCTGTCTCCCTGCGTGGTTTCTGTCTCCCTATGTGGTTCCTGTGCTGTTTTATCTCCTGTGCTGTTTCTGTCTCCCTATGTGGTTCCTGTGCTGTTTCTTTCTCCTGTGCTGTTTCGGTCCCTAGTGTTGTTTCGGTCCCTGGTGTTGTTTCGGTCCATGGTAATGTGCTGTACTGTTTCAATCATCTGTCAACATCTTAGGAACATGTGGAGCATATCAATGGAGGGAGATTAAAAAAAGCAACAACAAAAAACAAGAACAGTGCCGGTAATTTAAATGTCAGAGATAATTTGGTTGAGATCAATTCCATTTGTACTCTCAGTGTGAATGTGCAGTTTAATTAAACTTTGTCTGTAATCAATGGATACTAGTAGCAGCTCAGTGCTACAGAAATTTGGCCGTTTTTATTTCCTGCTCAAATTTAATGAAGAATAACACTGTGGATATTTTTGCTTATGACATTTCCTAGTTTCCTTTAACATTGACGAGACGGCTTGAATCTGAGGAAATATCATATATGCGCTACTTCAAAATCAAGGGAAATTAACAACAGAAATAGAAGAAATAGAAGAAATGTTATTTCACCTATAGAATACATGATTGAATAAGATGCAGTTAAGTTAAACTGCGTTTAAGGTAAATATCAGTTAAGGTAGATATCAGGTAAGGTAGATATCAGTCAAGGTAGATATCAGTTAGATATCAGTTAAGGTAGATATCAGGTAAGGTAGATATCAGGTAAGGTAGATATGAAATCCAAGACCAACAGTAAATATGTAGTTTTAATGTCCAAAACAAGATTCCTGAACACTGGGTAATAATTCAACCCTACTCTACCCAGAAGTCTACATAGATATCACTGCTTGTTTGGTCCTTATGCTTATAATGATTTGGTTCTAATAGAGGTTGACATAGACCATTCCTGTATGATAGTAAAAGTAGTTCAGTCTACAAGGAGGTTAAAATGGTGCGGCCTTTTTAAAGGTTGAAATGAACCTAAACTTGAGCTTTATATAGAAATGAGTTGTTTTATCAAAAATAGTATACAATATAACTAACATTCATATTAGTGTTTCTGGAATTTGATTGGATAATCAAAACAAGACATTGAAGGTTGAAATTACTGTGAAAAGTGAACATTGCAGAACATTTGAATATATATGATAAGGATGTTTTTCTGTAAGGGCCTGTGTGAGGTGTTCAACACCCAATTAAGTTGTGACCTCATCTTGTTGGTACCATTCAACGTAAATATAAGAAAAAATGTTTAACAGAACTGCAATTTCATGTTTTTCACGAATCAAAAGTATCCCAACGTAAAGATTCTATTATTTTTCTTGCCAAGATTGTATTTATCTCCAGAAAGCTTTTAAGAGAAAAAACATATTTAATGGTTTGGGAGAAAAAAATCGTTGTAACTTAATTAAAGCTCTCACTAAGAAGGTCTAAATGAAGCGCGTGTTTCACTAGGCCAGCTCCCCCTACCTGTCACTAGGTAGTACTGACTGACTGCTATAACAGGGATTGCTGAAGATTTAATTTGCAAGCTTATAGTCTTAATTTGATTTTATTGCCACTGAAAGGAAGTTGGTTTTAGCTTCATACCTATCACAGAAGCCTTGAACCAAAGCTGAGGTACAATTGATTCGAAAGATGTACCTTTTAACAATGCCTACCACCATAGAAAACAATTATACATCTTAAAACGTAATACAATTCCTCCGTGTTATTGATGGAAAATTGTTCTGTTAATTACTTTTTTCGTCTCATTAAAGATAAAATGTATGTTTCAGTGGTGCCCAGCGGTGTAGATAAATGCCTGTAGCTAGGTGCTTCCTTCTAATCAATGTCCAAACTCTTTCTTTCATTTTACTATTTCACAATCCTCTGAGAATTATTCCACCTCCAACTTGGAAACTTAATAAGTAATATAATTGTACCAAGTCGTCATAGTAACCAAAATTCGGCCTTGATATTTTTTTCATGTTGTGTCATTGTGTTTAATTAATTTTGATTGTAATCAGGTTATGGTTGGTACCGTAAATCTGCAAATTGTCGCTCAGGACAAAGATTTAGAGTTTTTAGATGTAGTAGTTAGTGATAACTCTGTTGTGTTGGGATAAGTGACTAATATGTATAGCCATTCTACGAACCTAATATCACTAACCTCCATTGTCTTATAGTGTTTCTAATACATTTCATCACAAATACCGATTTTGATATAATAAGGTTGCTAGGTACAGTTAAATGACAGATGGGGTGAATTTTATTAAACATGTTTTTCCTCAGACAACATAACTCATAATTTGACTATTCTCATAAATCATTGCATTGGTCGTTCTTTTGACCGATTACGCTTCGTGGCAGAGTAAAGATAGATTTCATTTCGAACAATCATGTACCTCAAAATTTTGGTGAGGGAAGTGATCGAGTAGTTCTCAAAATAACTGGACAATTTCTGAAAACTTTGAAACCTGTATCAGAAAAATTCCAGAAGTTTATTATAAGAATTCAAGTGATATTTATAAAATTGCTGGGAATTGGGAATAAGGGGGCCTGTTAGAGCAGGTACCTTTGTTTCATCAAATGCGGTAGATGATGTTGATCACATCATAACTTGATGTCAGGAGTACATTTGTAATTCAACTTTGTCGTTTGCTTCTTTTTCACTGAAACCATATAAATATTCTTTTTGTTGAGCTGATGATTTAAATTTTCAATTAAATACTGTTTAAAGATTGTTTTGACTTTATTTACAGCTGAAACAATGTGAAATATACATTATACCTTTTTGTAAATGTTAGAAAACTAGTTCTCCTTTTCGTTTTTGTACTATTTGCAGTTTTGTGCTTAATTTATACATCACCAATTTGTTTTATTATATTGTTTTGTCATTAAGTTTGGTAATCTTTTTTTGCAGAAAACATATCACACCTCATAGAACACATCATAAATGGGTGCACAATGATGATGACATTGTAACCAGCTGTTTGATAATTAAGTTGAAATGATTTTTAATAACGTCAGCTATAATGGATAAGATTGATACCATAATATATTAATATATACATGTTCTGTTTGTTTTGTTTCTTTAGGCCTGAAAGCAGAGAAGACGGACGGTAAGATTGCCACCTATATATACCGTTTTAAAAACGAACTCTATTACAAACTCTTCACCTAAAATGGTTACCTGGTAGGTCCTGGATTATCTGGTCGCCATGGTACCGGGTTTGGTTATGGGATTATCTTGTCACCATGATAACCTGGAAGGTTCTAGATTATCTTGTCACCATGGTACCTGGAATGTTCCGGATTATCTTGTCATCTTGGATCAGGCTTGATTCTGGATTATTTTATCACAGCTACAACAGGGTGTAATCCAATATGGTAACAGGCTAATGTCCGGACAGATAATGAAGAGGCTTTAGAGTTGATCAGATAAGAATTGATTATGATGAAGTTCAGTTAGGGAACAGTTGCCTTTCATGTTTATTGTACATTTACTGTTTTTTTGTGTGTATGTATAATCGATTAACAAAAATTGTCTGTGAAGGAATTTATTAATATTAATATGTCAAAAGGTAAAAATATAATAATTTGAATTTGTTTGTTATAATGGAAAAATTATTTAAGAATACATTCCTCTGCTGTAGATACAGAGCTGTACTACTGCCTCCCACCTAATTCTTACATAAAATTTATCTGTGAAAATTGGATTTCATAAAAGAGAAAAATAACATTGAAATTCCCCAGATAACCCAGATAATTGTCAAATGCTCATCAAATGTCAAAACGCATTTTTATTACTTAATAACATAAACCCAAAAATTTGATATTACTAAAGTAGGTAATCTTCTTTTCACTATTATATCAAGCCTTTTTTACTTTGTTCAATCCAGCATTACGTGAAAAAAAACATTGCTGAAGTCAGTGCCTGACAGTATGTCTGCTTGCTCTCATTTAGCATTTTTTCAAATTTGTCTTCTTGAATGGTTCTGTCTTTTGTGCTGTAAAAGCCATGCCCTTTCTTCCCCAATTAATGACATTTTGTCTAAAATACATACACAGCGAACCATTGTTTCAGCCAGGCAGTTTGGAAACTTTTTTATTTTCTCTCCATGACAGCGACTCTCAACATGAAGAGCACTACAACATACTTTTATCTGAGTTATATTAATTTTGTATATCAAACGAGTGTAAAATGATCTCTTTTGGTAGTGACCTATCAGAACAGTACGTTCTATCAATTTCATTCAAAGCTGGAGATTTCCTGTTCAAATGTAAATGAAGCCACGGTAGAATAAGCGACAGTTTAGGTACATCTTTCCTTTATGTAGTAATTAAGGTATTAATCTAACTACACAATTGTTAACATTTATGTCAGCAAAAGCAGAAAAAAGTAGAATTGTATTGAGTAACCCATTCCAGAATTGCAGTTAGCCTTGCTGTCAAGCATCATGTCATTAGATTATTGCACCAAAGGTTAAGCTATTTTATCCCAAACTGCTTTGATGCAGTAACATTTTCATTGTAGTTTTAAAATGTTAGTGTACAAAAATTTAATGGGTTTCCTGTTGATTACCACTCATATAGCAGAGTACACCGATATTTTCACTTGTACATAATATTGGTATTCTGACATACTCATTAAATGTATATGGTATTCAAAGAGAAACTAATAAATATTTTCTATTTATCCCATCAACAAAGAACTCGCATGCAGTAGTTTTAATCCAACAATTAGGTTTGCACTCTGTCCGTCAGTCGTACCCCCACCAGTACTAGAAAAGGGAATATTGTTCGTATTCCATCTGTCATCTGTCTGTGTGTCCCTTTATCCAGGGCGTATATTGTTCACTCTGTCACCCACAATTAACAGATTTTGTATGCGAGTACCTGTTTGGATAGAGGAGGGTAGCATACTGAAATAGTACTCCCGTGTCCTATTATTTTCAGAGTTATGGCCCTTTGTTCAATATAATCTGTCTTCTACCATTACTAAATTTTATATGTGACTACCTCTTGGGATAGTGTGGTGTCATGTACTGAAATCAGGCCTCTTGTCCTTTTATATGCAGAGTTATGTCTCTTTGTTGTTTTTTGATAACATAGTTTGTCTGGAGATGAGGGACCAGGGTTTGTTTGCAATATTCTGCCTCGTTGAATTCCTATCCATAAAGTAAGTGTAGGAATCTAATTCAAACAAATAAAGAAAATGTGTGTAACTGCTTCTGGATTTGTGACATAATAAAACGGGTTTATAATTGCCATTTAGGTTGGGTATGTATATTTTTTAGATAACTATGTGGTACATTCGGGAACCTCTAAGGAAGTTGTTGATTAGGCTTGGCTTCTCTAGTTGTAATGTTTCCTTCTGGATATATATGTCTAGATCTGTTTGTCGCAGGGGGTGCTTCCTGCTATAATTGATGAGGGAAGGGACCATTAAAAACATTACATAAAAACATAATCGGCCCATTGCACCAAGTAAGGAAGTGTCTCAGTTCTTATTACCATACTAGGGAAAAAGTTAAAACTTTTAATTATCTCTAAATAGGTAATTAGAAGAGAAAATTGCTTCAGCCTTAATGAGAATTGGATCATCATAGCTCTTGTAAGCTTTGGCAGTTGTTAGGTAGTCTGTCAAGCTTGTATGTGATAAAGAGTATGTTGGAGATTTATAGATCCACGTTTAAAATCTCTCGGCAGTAAATCAGCCAATCAGTTGGTGTGTTGTGTCCTTATGCAGTGCTTGAACCTGCAGTAAATAGCCAAACTAGTAAAGCGATTCTTTATTCTGACTATTTAAGTTGATTTTGATAGATTTATGTGTTTCAGCTATCGATAGATATAAGTCTAATTTGTGGCAGTTTTCTCCATTAAGGCTTTTATGTAGAGTAATTGCCTTTATAAATCTCCATTTTCAAAATAATGTTTCAGACAAATATGGCTAAGATGAAAGATCTAGAACAAAAAAAGTTTCTTTCATTTTCAAAAGATACAGTACGAATGTGTTATATATCCCATCATTAGAAGGGTTTTTTAATCTGTCTATTTTGAAGAAAAGTTACAGATTATATAGATTTTTTTTAGCATTGTTGACAATATCATAAATCATTATTGATGATATTTAATACGAAACAATGCCTACTCCATTTCAGTTTACATTTATTTCTGACTAATAAGTTTTTCTCAAAAGCTTCAACTGGGCTAATCCTACAAGCAATTAGAAGGTAAAAAAAAACACTAGGCGAAGTACAAAAAAATGTTTATGTAACAGTGGCTGAATTTCAATGCCGCTATCTAGTTTCAAATTCCTACCTGTGATGTAAGTATGTACAGGTGTACACTTAGAGGTAAATAATGACGGGTAACAAGAGGACACAGTTAATCTACCCCTGATTTCATAGCATATTGATTTCTTACTTTAGTAGAAATTGTTTGAAATGGATACTTCAAATGGACGTGAAAAAAAGGAACTTTAACTTCAATGTTTCATGTCTGTTGAAAAAAAGGGGAAACGATATGGCCTGCAAATTCTACATTAAAAATGTGCATGATGACATTGGCAGTATAGGTAAGGTTTTGATATGTAAGACTGCTGTATATGATGTTGTGTTAAATGGTTATAGTCAATATCGATAGTCCCGATTTGTTGTCTGATGTATGTGTGTGTTCCTTAGTTGTAAAGTGTAAATCCATGCTTAGTTTTAGATAGGCCCACATTTACAATTGCAACAAGAGCTTAATCTATGATTAAGTTTTGGTTAATCATTGTTTTGGCAGAAAGACAACATTCTTCATGTACAAGATTTTCAGCTCACCTGGCACAAAGTGCCTGTGAAATGATGCCATGGTGTGATGTTCAACATCAACTTTTTTTTATTTATTAAAAAACTTTATTTCTCAGAACTAGAAAGTCCATAATCATAGTTTTCGACTTGTATGTTGCTGTGATGAAGGGCAAGGGTCATCAAATTGGTTCAACTAAATTACCTTGACCCTAGCTCTTTCAAGATCATGACTCATATTACATTAAAACATTCATATCAAAGGCTTTTAAGTATACACAACCTTATGGCCTAGCTATATAGATCATGATATTTGGCTTACAGCTGACTTGGCTAGCAGGCTTTCAGCTTTATTGAAATAATTAAAGTGACCTTGATCAACCTTCAAGGTCACAATTGCCAAATGTTTTTATCATTTAAAAGATGAATCAGGTGAATGATAAAGGCTATTGGGAATCTTATAAGTGATTTCTCCTTAAGAAGCTGAGTTTATTTATAGAGTCTACTGTTTACTTATGACAATTATGTTTACTTTATGTACAAAACATTTTTTTGGTGCATCTAATATTTATAGAAAGACTCTTTGTCAAGCGTTGAAGAGGTTTTATCTTCAGTTTTCACTGTTTTTATGGTATCTACTTAGACTTTAACCCAACAAATAAACAGAGAATTCTTTTGATTACCTGGATGTTATTGGTCGCCATGAGTACAGTAGTAAGGTGGAGATAACTCTGTAAGGAAAATATATATGTTTATCAGACAATTTTTGTGTGATATTAAAAATTAACTGAAAAATATCAAAAGATCAGTATGTAGAAACTTGTGTTACTCTCTTATGTCTTCATCCTGTTTGTGTATTGAAATAATTATAAAACACATCTTATAAAGTCTACTGTCTGTAACTGTAGTGAATATTATAGTCGATCATATCAAAAGATAAACATAAAATATAAATGGAAGAAGATGAATTAGAATTTAGGCAATTAATATTGGTGCAAGTTTATAACCATTTCCTACCAGTGTTCTGTTTGTGTTTAATCCGTGTATATGTCTAATGGTGAGTGTCCATTGTCACTGTTAATTGTCAGGCCAAAAAGACGGGTAATGCTAAGAAACAACCGAAATACTGACTATTTGCTTGTGCAAGGGTTACCAAGTGGAAAAGTTCCAAAACTGACTAATAGCATAATTAGAGCTGACCAAACCAAACCACTAGGTCAAAAATATGGATGTATATATTATGATACAGCAAAATAGATTTATGCAAATTGAACCAAAATACATACATACCATAATACTATAATTAAACATGAAATACACAGCAAATATCATCTCCGCCACACTTTGGCTGACCTTGTAGTATTTAAGGTAAAGTGTTTATTTGACGTGATTGTATCATAGTGTTGGTAGCAGATGTAGATCCCTACAGGGACACATATCATGCCATTTCGTCCAATCAGCTTGGTAACATGCTAATGGCCGACAGGTTAATTGATAATCAGAATCTAGTGGGCTGACTTAGGGGAAATATTGGGCAGGCATGAAACACTGTATGGTGCATGATTAGGCATTAAACAGTGCACCTGATGCTAATTATAAATCTCCAACTATTAACGTGGGAATTGTAATTCTACCTTTATCTTAGTTGATCTTGTTAATTGGTGATAACTCTGAATTCAAAAATTTTCTCACACTATCTGCTCCAAATTCTGCAGTTTTTACCAGGCTAACAGATTCTAGATTGAACTTGTATTAAATTAACATGGACAGGGTACATCTGATTCAACATGTATTACCTTCATCAGAAATTTATTTTTTTCCTTATTAAGACACCAAGTCTTTCTTTTTCCTTTTCTTTTTTCTTTTTATTTAATTGATTACTCCTTATAGAATACTGTTGGCATTTTCTGGATAGTTCAGTATATTTCTCCTTGGAAATTCAATAGCTAAATATGAAAGTCATTCTTGCTATGTCAATTTAATTGCAAATATCTGAGGGACAGAGAGAAATATAGTTTGAAATTTCCCCCATAAAAACCAGCCATAAGAACTACACAAATTAAGTATTGAAAATGTCAGTTATGTGGATTCTTTCATATATAAGATGAACATCTCCAGATCCATAGGATCTTAAGTATTGATAATTGGTCTTTTGCTTGCTGGGGTGGAAGGCTCTCTGGTAACCAAGTTTGTTCAAATGAATGACCTTGACCCACTTTCAAGTTCACAGGTCATATGTTTTTAAAACGTAAAGGGCCTTGATTTCAAGATCCATAAGGCCTCGAGTAAAAGCATTTTTCCTAAAAGACTATTTGAATAAATAGCTATTTACTTTTTTCAAATTAATAACCTTGAACGGCTTTCAATGTTGATATAAATCAAATGTGTTCTATCTTTCTAATGGTCTTTAAATCCTAGAGTTAGACCATTTGGTTTTGAACAGGTGAGTGATACATGCCTATGGGGCCTCTTGTTATTTATATTTTTGGTGCATTTTGTTTCCCCTTGATGTTTGTGTTTCTGGTTTGAATTAAAGATTTCATATTTACAGTTAATGTTATCTGTAGATTAATACTGTCTCACTGACTTAGTTTCAGTTCTATTTATAGATACATGTACTACTTAAATTGTCGTAGAACTCGAGGTTCAAGCCTCCTTTGGATATCTTTGGTGTAAAACTACCATCCCAAAGTTCAGTTTTAGGCTAGCTAACATAGACATTGAGTTGGAAGCTATTCAAAAACTGTTAATTGTTGAAAAACCTAATTTTCTGGTTTTTAAAGTTTATGTAGATTTAAATTTGTATTTCTATAACATACCAAAGATTGCCATGGAAACTGATGTCTCCAGGGCGGAGTTCCCGCTATCAAGTGATTCATTTTACATACCAATTGTTCTGTCTCGTGTCGAGTCATTTGAAATTTGACATAGCATGCAAAGTTAGACTGTTAATATCTAACACAATTTATGTTTAAACAAGTTCATGAATAATCTAATAATGATCGATAATTCAGTCTACAAAATATTCATGGAAAAATGTCCTAGATAATGACAACATACATATTTAAATGTCTTGTAAGCAAGATTTGTGTTATTATCAAAATGTGATGTAAGGTACAATGAAACATCATTAGTCTGGGCCGGGGTTTCTGAAAACATTCACAAATTAAAAACTATTAGGTCTAGGCCACTGTTTCTGAAAACACACAAATTCAACTTCATTAGTCCTGGCCATGGTTTTTGGAAACACGAATTCAATGTCATTAGTCCTGGCCAATGGTTTCTGGAAACACGAATTCAATGTCATTAGTCCTGGCCAATGGTTTCTGGAAATACACAAATTCAATATCATTAGTCTTGGCCATGGTTTCTGGAAACACACAAATTCAACTTCATTAGTCGTGGCCATGGTTTCTGGAAACACGAATTCAATGTCATTAGTCCTGGCCAATGGTTTCTGGAAACACACAAATTCAATGTCATTAGTCTTGGCCATGGTTTCTGGAAACACACAAATTCAACTTCATTAGTCTTGGCTATGGTTTCTGGAAACACGAATTCAATGTCATTAGTCCTGGCTATGGTTTCTGGAAACACACAAATTCAATTTCATTAGTCCTGGCCAATGGTTTCTGGAAACACACAAATTCAATGTCATTAGTCCTGGCCATGGTTTCTGGATATAATCACAAACTGATATCCAAATACTGGCAATAATGTTTCACTAAATTAAATCCAATGAGCACACTAAGTCCCTTTTAACCTAGCCTGGTTTTACAGTAAATGGATAACAATATGCTGTGGTATGTAGTACTATATATTGTTTTGTATTGTATAGTCACTAATATATTTTTTTTGTACTAAGATGGTATGTGTATGTTGAATTGTTTTTCCATGTACCTGGATATTGTTTTGTGCAATGTTACATTATATCAATATATTGTTTTGTAGTCGTCTATGATTATTTTGTAGTTGTGTATTAATATATACTGGTATATTATTTTGTAGCCATATGAATATAATAATTATTTTGTTGTCATGTATAGAGAATCTAAAACGAGTTTCCATTTACGGTCAAAAAATAGAATTCACTTTCCCTTTATAACATTTCTATGTATGTACGAGAATATGTACTCTTGTCATGTTTTCAATGTCAACATTTTGAATTCACATTTATTATCTCTAATGCGACATCATATTAACATGACCTTGAGTCTGGTATCTTAATTCAAACGTTCCAATGGGATTACATTAAGTAATACTTAAATTTCATTGGTGTATTGTATAACAGTCATGTGATTAACTTTGTTTTGTACTTTGTCGTGGTGTATCTATTATACAATAACTTTATTGATACTATGTTTTGTACTTTGTCGTGATGTATCTATTATACAATACCTTTATTGATACTTTGTTTTGTACTTTGTCGTGGTGTATCTATTATACAATAACTTTATTGATACTTTGTTTTGTAATTTGTCGTGGTGTATCTATTATGTAGGAATTATATTGTAATTTGTAGTCAGATATAATCTGGTGTATGATTTGTGATATTTACAATGGTCCTCGGTGTATACAATATTTAATACAATGGAGTATTCAGTACGCCTTGTATTCAGTTTTACATGCATTTTGTGATTTTTCCCGCTTTTCTTTGATGTTATTTCATGTGAGTAGTTTATTTTGATTGTTTACTTCTTATACAGTTTATTTTATTGATCCTGCATTTAACTGGTGCAAATTAGACTAATTTGGAAATGTTTGGTTTATTAAAGCCTGTAGTGTAATGTACTATGCTACATGTATGTATAGTATGAGTATTATTGCCACATATGTCACAATGGTTTCTGTTGCATGTATCATGACTGAATCATGAAGGTTTCTGTCGCATATATGTATCATGACACTTCCTGTCACATATACGTATCGTGACACTTCCTGTCACATATATGTATCATGAAACTTTCTGTCACATATATGTATCATGACACTTCCTGTCACATATAATTGCATCATGACACTTCCTGTCAGATATATGTATCATGACAGTTCTTTCACATACATGTATCATGACAGTTTTTATCACATATATGTATTGTGACACTTCCTGTCACATATATGTATCATGAAGATTTCTGTCTCATATATGCATCATGACACTTCCTGTCACATATATGTATTGTGACAGTTCTTTCTCATACATGTATCATTACAGTTCTGTCACATATATGTATCATGGCACTTCCTGTCACATATACGTATCATGACACTTCCTGTCACATATATGCATCATGGCACTTCCTGTCACATATATTTATCATGAGAATTTCTGTCACATATATGTATCATGACAGTTCTTTCACATATATGTATCATGACAGTGTCTGTCACATACCTGTATAATGATGGTTTCTATTATTTGTATGAGATGTTACAGTTTCTGTGACAATTTCTGTCACCTATTTGTATTTAATTAACTGTAAACTAAGGGCTTCAGTTGTTAGTTTTTAGGTCACCTGAGCTTTGCTCAAGTGACCTATTCTAATCGCTTTTCGTCCATCGTCGTCCGTCGTGCGTAAACTTTTACATTTTCAACTTCTTCTCAAGAACCAGTGAATGGATTTTTTTCAAACTTGGTCAGAATCATCCTTGGTAGATGAGGCTTCAAAATTGTAAAATTGGGATTCCTACCCCAACCCCTGGGGCCAGGGCGGGGCCCCAAAGGGAAAATTAACCAATATTTCAAAAATCTTCTTCTTCAGACTCAGAGGTACTACACTCATTTTCTCTGCGTGGAAAGAAAGATCATCAGGGGCTTTACTTAAATTGTAAATTTCAGGACCCCCGAGCTATCCGTTCTCCCTTGGGGAGGGGGTAAAGTTTACTATAGTTTATATAGGGAAATAACACTTTTGGGTATATTTTGACAACTTTCTGTAGGAAATTATTTTTACTTGGTGAGAATTATCCTTGGAGGTAGAT